TCCGACCAGCACGTCATGTCATGTACGGAGATGTCATTCATGACGTGACAGGGCGCGCAAAGATCTGGACACGACTAGCAAGCCAGTTGCGGCCAACAGTGTGCCAACCGGAACAAGCAAGACCTACCGACCTGCCGTTCGAATTATTGGTGAAAAACTTCAACTTGCTGAAGGAGCCCATGGACGACTGATTACAGTCTAGCAAGGGATCCAGACAACAGATTTCGGAACCCAGTTCTAGAGCACATATTCCGAGCATTTAAAGAGAAAGACGGAAATCACCATCCCGAATAATGCAAGTTTATCATAGGCTTTCATCGCATAATTCGGATGATATCTCAGAAGGGAAGGTGTCTGAGGGAAAGTAAAAATTGTCCGGAAAATCCATTATTTTAATGATTAATCAATCAGTAAGGATTACCACATCGGTTTCGAACGTTCCGCAATGTTCTAAGTTCAGCAGTGATTAAAAGCCACTTGGCATTTCGGCCAAATCTTTGGTGAACCACTGAGCATGGTATTTGACACCAATTCCAGGAGTCGAAGGCCAGTAAGAGACCTATAAATACAGCCACGATCTGCGGCAGTTGTACAGTGTTTTGTCCACGGCTGTTGATACGTTATTTTTTCAAGGTTATCGGCGTTCTGCTTTTCGGTTTGGCTAGAAGTTTTGTGAAGCACTAAAGTAGCTATTTCGGAATCACATCTTCTGAGAAGAATATAACGGTTATGATGCAAATTTCTCTGTTGTCCCCTTTAGAATGCTCCGCATAACAGACGTTTTACAAAAACAGTGTCGAAGGATCGCTGCGTCCCTCCGTGCTGCGCACCAATACTGTGTGGGTCATTAATTCTTCATCTATAAACAAAACGTCAACGATGGCTAGGTTGTGCCCGGTGCTTAATCTTGCATGAGAAGTGAGGTGATTATAAAGTGATAGGCTGGCAAATATCTCTTGCGGTTTGGCTTTAAAGGGCTCATTGAGAGTGGCTGGAACTTCGAAAGTATACAAGTTGAATTCACCTTCATGGAGAAGGTGAATGTAGGGCTGTGCTTGAACGGTCTGCATAGCATTAGCTAAACAGTTGTTTATTTCTAAAGCTAAAATCTGGGGACGGTATACGACTGCCACTGAACAAGTATCCCAACCTCCGCGTTGCACTAGCTTGGGTCTCTGGGCATTTCAAGTGTTCATAATCAAGTCACTACGATGGTAAAAAAGGACACTGCCTCCCCTACTTGATCGATCATTTCGTAGGTTTGATATGCTTGGTAAGGCTATCTCGGCATCAGTGATTTCTTCGTTTATTCAAGTTTTGTTTAGCATGATAATGTCCCAAAGCTTCGAGGCTTGGCGACGATAATGCTCAGAAAGTTAGCTGAGAAGGACTTATGCTTTAGTACTAAACATAATAATGTTTTGAATATTGGAAGTGTGTTGGGAGGCGTGGGTTTAGGTGAAAGTTTAAGCCGACCTTGGGGAGGTCGGCATGTGATCCTTTTTGGGCGAACTACTAAAATTGAAATTTGAGCCTCTTCATTTCGGCTGATAAAGCTTTCGAGATGAAGTTCTGATTAAAATGGTCATCGGGCAAGTCGTCCTTTTTCGAGAGCCATTCGTGGTCCGAAGCTGTACGAATCATAAGAAAGATTTGCTGGGGTAGTTGGTAAGCCACGATGCTTACGTGCTGCCACCATCAATGGCTTTGGTGTTGGACACCTTTAAGCAAATCTCTGATGGATGTTTTTGCTACACTTGGTACCACATATCGAATGTTACTTCCGACATGCGTTTAAAGTGAGGCACAACTTTCAGCACTTTTGGGGCCATATCCTTGGTAGTTTGTTAATTATGACAAATTGGAGGTAGCTTTGGCCATCATATCGTGGCGTTAGAACACTTCACATAGGTAATGCCACTACCACCGGTTGTGAAATCGGGCTTCTGGTGCATCCGGGGCCTGAATCTGTAGGAAACCATGAATGAATAACAATATTTCTTTCTTCTGCTGGGGGTGTCTCTCCGGCTTCTGTTTTCTTTGCTGGCGTTCGCTCCACTGCCGGCAAAACTCGAACACCACATGGGGTAATGCGAAGCTGAATGGCCGACATGAGGACAGTCACCACCTTGTCCGTGGATTACAGCTCACTAAAATAGTAGTGCTTTACCAATGTATGGTGGGTTGGGTTCCGGACGATGTACACCAAGTAGGTCGGTTCGGCGTGAACACGTCTTAGGCAGAACAATAAGCCACTGTTTCCGTCTTCCAGCAGCTTACATGTTTTGAGGTTTGCGGTAGATTCAGGGACGTCAGAACATACAATTGCTGGTAACTCGTGGGCATGTCTAAAGCTGGCCGCTTTGAGGGAGGCTGTAGTCCGAATTGATGATGGTGCGATTTGCGCATATGTGGTAATTTTGACGCCTTGTGTTTTGCCGTATGATATAGAGTGTGTTACACATTGTGTGTAAGCAACTGAGACGGTGCGTACGAAATCACGCCTTCTGTGACAAAGGATTTGTCCACGTGTGTCCGTTTAAAATAAGCCACGGATTTGATATCAGGCTTCAGCTATGGATCTGAGGTGGGAGTAATCGAAGTAAGTGGAACTCGGCGGTTTTTCTGGTTTCGGGTTGCATTTGCAGTTGTTGAAGTACTTGGCTTTACATATATAATGTTTCTACTGGTTCAGCCATCAGATGCAGCTGCGGCTGTAGGAGATTGGCTTTTTAACAGCACCATTCCTGAGGCGGACAGAGGCTGATGTGCACCGATTTATCGTGTGCTCCATGTGAGGACCGTTTGTGGCTGTTATCTTGAGTGTTTGACTACTAGGTCCCTCTTCTGCATTCAACTTATGACCTGCCAATGTGGAATAAGAAGAATGCAGTGAAATACTTGACGCTAGTTACTCTGGAGAAACAAGCTGCGTACGCATCGTTTGGTTCGAGCCTGGCCCACTTTCCTGGTGCATCTTCACCTCCAGTGTATCAAACCTAGGGTTTGCCAGCTGTTCGAATCCTCTAGGAAACCGTCCTATTTATGGATCATTAATATTACGCATTTGCCGAATTGTATAGTCGAACATGCAAGACAAAACCAATAGAAAGTTGGTGAGCTGCTCTGCTCTCTCGCCTGCCATCGAGAAACGTTACCGCACTTGGGATGGCAGTGTTTCGACTAGAACGTGCAATCCATTCCTACTTTCACAGGAGGCTTACATTTGACATCTTCACATATCCGCTTATTATAAACATGATTAAATCCCCGGTTATTAACTCACACTTATTTTTCATAGACTTTGCAACGTGGTGCTAAAGCCGGATGCGGTATTTTCACGAGGCAGATGTAGAGGGAAAGGCACGCCTCGTTGCACATTACTCTTGAGGTTACCCTCACCTTGTAGTTTTTGCTCACTACACTTCAGTAAATCCATTGGTGTGAATATACTCTTGCTATCTAGGTTTCATCTTTCGCAACATTCATTATGAGCACCCTGGGGTACCTGTTAAGCTTGAGTGACTTTAGCCGTATACAGCTATTGCAACACTGTACTACTTAATCCGGCTCCACTAATGTACTACCAGTTTACCGACTACGCTTGGCAGTTGGATAGAAAACGCGGATATCGAATCCGGTTCCGATGTCATCTACCTAGATGTTTCTAAGCATTCGACCTTAAATATAACTGAATCCTTCTACATGAGCTGTATACATGCGGTATAGGCTACACTTATTTTGCATAGATCAGAAACTTCTTCAGCGGCGACTGCAAGTCTAGATACCGGGCTCATTTTCTGAACATGTTATTGTGGACTGCAGTGCCTATCAAGTATCAGTGTTGGGGTCACGCTTGTTCTTCTCCTTCAGAACCGACCTTCTGCTCGTTTTCAATTCAATTCGCCTTCAATTTATCTGATAACATTGAGCTATGACCGGCGGTCTATAGCAAGTGCAATCCCGATCTGTGCAGCGAGTATTAGTCCGTATATTTAAGTGGTTACAGGCAAACATAAATCTGTTCAACGCGGGCAAGTGTTATTATATACATGCATGAAACTAGCGAACTAACGCATGTAAAATTAGAGACCACATCTTGAAGCACGACCTTATGGTTTTGGGGAAACACGACCTCGGCTCTTTGGTGCAATAGTTACAGTCGTTCATAAACAGCAAAACCATTGTCTTGGTCTGTTATGGAGATTATTCGTGCAGCTCGACCCTCCATTATTCCTCAAATGCTTAAAGGATATTTGGTCCCCTGGAATGTACGCGATTTCGGCCTAGAAACACAGTGAAAACGCTTTCTATCCTTACTCACGGCCCAATAACGAAGGGCAGATAAAAATGTGCAGGGTTTCTTATGCTTATCCATACCACCTACAACTGAAAGCTCTAAAACTGTACAGAGAAATTTTTCGCCGTCTACATAGTGACCCCATTCTGGCGTACCAGATATTGAGTAACCCAGATCACGTTTGCACCCAACTGCTGCAACTTAGCCACAACAGAAAACTGAGGGGTCACCAGCTGAAATTAGCCATCCAATACATCAGCTGGAAAGCAGTGGAATTAATTAGCAGCTTAAACTTGACAGCAATAAGCGCGCTTGTGACTTCTGTCGTTTGTGTTTTCAAACTACGAGTAGAAAACGACACGACGATGCATACGACAGTTTGTTCTACTTGATTCGAATTTCTCTCATTGAGTGACAACAAGGCGCAGCAAATCGTTGCGCTCACCATCCTTCACTAAAGCGGCGTAACTGGACACGCACGTGTTAACGTGAACAATATGTTGAGTCCGCAAAAGCGTGGTTCGTTTTAGTGTAGCTCCTTATTTTACTTAGTAATTCAAACAAAGCTTTCCAGGGGATTTGTCGAGCTTAGGCTATTTTGCTCTTATTTTAACCTTACTACGTTCCCTTAACTTTTAAACATCCAAATCCCCCTGCTTACTGACAAAATCGTTTCTTGTTTCACCTTTTTTATCCAAAGGATTTTGGATTGGTATCACCGTGGGGCTTGTGTCCCAAGCGATTGTTTGCTGTGTCATCTGCAGCTGCATTGATTGGAAGAAACAAGTAGAACTGGTAGGTAATTTCCGAGAAATTATTAGATTACCATTTAGTCTATCGTTAAGGCATACACTCATTGTGAGTAACTCGAATTAGTAGTAGGATTAAAACTCCAAAGTACAACGGATGATCGAAACATTCTACTATGCTAACGCGTGTTGTGGCTACCAAATATCCAAAATAATTTTGGATGAAGAGACTATGAGGAGAATTGATTTATTTAACTTAATACTTAACACGAACAGCCTGAAAGCTGTTGAACTAATTAAACTGAATCATTTTCTTAAATACTCTCAACTTAGCACTAAGTTTTAGGTTTCACAATGTATGATATGAGGTGCAGTAATCACGCATTTCACAATACTCTGTGAAAAAATATATTTTAATGTTAGTGACCTATTTATTTATTTGCTGCTTCGCCTAGGCGCGCAAGAGAACAAAAGACGTTTGCTTGGCAAATCCAGATGAAAACACCGTAGATGGCTACAATTCAGCTAATTCCATAATGAATCGCTATAATGAGAGTAAGTTCTTCCGCCTTTAACTTTGTTTGAAAGGTTTAGTGAAACAGTACTTATTGTCTATTTAATCAAGGTTGGCTTAAGACACTGTGAATGAAGTATTTCCGGCATTAAAAATTATGGGTATATTTTAGTACAGACTTAGAGTTGGACAACCTCCAACTGTGTCAAACCGAGTCCGTGTGTGCTCTTTATCGAAACTGTAAGACATTCATTTCTAATGAATGTAACGAAGCGACAAAAACGTCTTCTTTCGTTTTGAATTCTACATTTATTGCTGTGTATCATCCATGCAGTTCAGCTACATTCATTTGGTTCTCACATATAAGTAGAAACCGAGGATTTGCCCGAATTTTCGTGGTCACACATGCAATCACATTTACCCAATTAATCGAGAATGATGACCATGTGCATCGCAGCCCTTACTGACATCCCGAATCACAACCAACTAGAAAATAAGCTATTAACGTATAAGGTAATTTGGTGTTGCTCCTCTCAAAGCCAACACACAACAACCTGTATTTTTTGTTTGGCTTGTCAAGTGGAGAGCATTTGTCGTGTTGTCAATTTTGGAAGGTGCGACACAGAAGCCCCTGCACGGAAATATGGATCCGAATGGAACAATGGAGTGATGGTTTTATGGGAGTAAAAAAGCTGTAGTTTAACAGATCCAGCGGAATGAAAAACACAGCATAAGAAAAATTTTCAGCAAACTTAGGTTCACGCTGGTGGACTCGCTGAGGAATTCGTAAGTGTAAACTTACTGTAAGTCACGTTACTTTCGATAACACACATTTGTATCTGTTTACAT